CAAAAAATAATTGATATAGTAAGTGTTTATTGTGCTTGTGCTTGTGTGAATGTGTTTTGTACATACATTTCCATTCTTATTTGACGTTAGCTTTGTTGTTGCCATTCTTTGGACTAAAAATTTGGTTTTTTGCGTTCCTTTACTTTTCCTGTTATTCTCTTTTAGTGAGCGCATTTTGCTTACGCTCTGGCATTTTAACACTTTTCAGATTTTAGTCCAAAAGGATAAGGAATGAACCTATTGACTGCCTTAGCTGAAACAGTGTTACTTCTTTAACAATTCTTTGCCTAATAATATAGTTGAATTTTTTTTTATTTTTTCTCAGTATACACATTCTGTTTTCTCAAAAAGTTATTATATCTTATTTTACTTCATTTCATTGCGAATATACTATAAAAAGCAAATTTTGTTTAGAAGAAAATATGAAATTTTATATTTTCCCCCCAAAAGGGGATTCCTNATTATTTCATTTCATTGCGAATATACTATAAAATAAACAAATTTTGTTTAGAAGAAAATATGTAATTTTATATTTTCTCCCCAAATGGGGATTCATTTCTGCCCGTTTTCCTTCTTATTCTACTGAGCTAAGGCAGTGTCAAATCGAGCTGTCACAACTGATACCACCTTGTATTATTGCATCATGCTTCTTTAACAATTCTTTGCCTAATAACATAGTTGAATATACATATCTTTATTTTTTCTCAGTACCTACTATATCAATACTTTTGGTTCGATATCGTGTCCATATCGACGAGTGGTATATTTGCTCGACCGCACCTCAAAATTGTTGATGGCAAAAAGCTTACAGGCTAACCTAATATTCGCGGCTTGCGTTTTGGTACGCATGCCGTCGAATTTGTTTTTTTGCGTCACCCGAAATTGACTTGCATGCGTTTGCATTTGATTTCATTGAGCGAAACGTCAAATCAAAATGTCACGCAGAACAAAAATTGGAAATTGAGTTAGCTTCATACGCACGCCGTTCAATTTCGGTTGATCTCATACAAGTTGCATGTGCATGAGAAATTTTTGACAATAAATTGGCGGCATGCGTGAATATTAGGTTAGCCTGTTACACTGGAAATGCGCCTTCTCATTTATAAACGTTCTCTGGTTGTATGTCCAGACCGCCTACTGTAAATATAGCAAAGGTATTTATGGCAAACCTAGTCTAGATATCAACCTCGTCGTAGGTATCATATCAAAGACATACAATTAGAAGAACTCTAGAGATAGATGTCGCCTCGCCAGAAGATGTTAAATATATGCACTATATACGCTACAGCGGAAATGGACGACACGCCACTTCTTTAAATGAAATTAATTGCTGCTATATGTATGTATGTACATATGTAGGCATATACTAAATGTGAGCAAACAACATTTTGCTTGCATAGTCTTCTGTTCTCTTTTCACTGCAAGTTGAATTATTTTAGTATCTATTCCAAAATTTTATACAGACAAGACTAAAAAGTATAAAATAAAAAAAAAACTTTTTAATGTACCACGCTTTTATAAATGGACTAAAATTAGAAACTAATATTTCTCAGTCCCATAGAACTTGTTTTGATAACTTTTGATTTTGAAATTTTAGCAAAAGTCATTATAAACAATCTATGAAATTTAAAATGAAAAGCGTGGGGCGCATGTAATAGGCCTGATTTGAAATTGAAGAGTAATGCTCGGAACACTTTGACGACAGCAAGCGATAAGCAGCATCTCTCAAATTTTAAATACACACGTTCTTACGGACACAATTATTTTGACGACAGCACGACATCTTGGCTGCAGGACTGCAATTGTCGACGTCGCCAAATTAAATCTATTTCTAATTTTGCCGGCGACAATGAGTAGATGTAGTGCTGCAAAATTAAATTGTCGCAAAATTAATCACATATTCTTGATTGTTCATGTTTTTCTTATTTACTTAAATAAAAATACACAATTTGTGAAATAAATATACCAAAATGTCAAACTTTAAAATCAGCTGTTTGCTATGTCGCTGAGGTCTTCAAAATGTTTAAGAAGCTGGCTTCAAGGCGACATTTGTCGACAAAATGATGTCGCTGTCGTTACGTCGTGAAGTTGCAGTCGTCAAAGTGTTCCGAGCTTAATATATGTATGTATGTGGGTATATTAATAACGACCGCTTAAAATCGATCTCAAATTTGTACTTTCGCTGTAGAAATTTTAGGTCTATGTTATGTATGTAGTTTGAAAATTGCCAATTAAATCTAATGCTTTGTATGGCATGCGCTCCACGTTTTTCGTTTTCAATCTCATAATTTGTTTATAATGACTTTTGCTAAATTTCAAAATCAAAAGTTATTAAAACAAATTCTATGGGACTGAGAAATGCTATTTTCTAATTTAGAGAATTTATAAAAGCGTGGTACATTAAAAAGTTTTTTTTTCCATTTATTTACATCTTTTTTTGTTCTTTTAAATATTACTTAAATTTTACTACTTCAACAACAAAACAAAAGTTAGAACCTTATTTTACCATTTTAAAACTGCGTTCTCCTCATTTTAAAGTTAAAATTCTGTTTTTGCCATAAAATGCATTTTAAGTTGACTATGAAAGAGTTAAAATGGTGATTACAATAAAACACAATTTTAATCGTTAAAACCTTTTTCTAACTTCTCTATGACTACGGGTGAATATTTTCAAAAGCTTATATTTTGAAAAGTTTTGAATTTTCAAAGTATGGATAGGGTTGGAAAGGTAATTAAATGATATCATATGTGTACATAACATATATGTACATATAAATTATGAAATTTTTCTTATAAAATTATTTTTTTCTTAAAAAAACTATATTAAAAGATATGCACAAGATAAGAAAGAGCACAAAAACGCCTTTAATTAAATATATGATTTATAATAAAAAAATCTTCGGTAATATCACTGAATATTAAAATTTGATTTTATATGTAAAAAGAAAAAAAGCTCTGCAGGCGAACATTTGGAAGAAAATATCGCGCTATTTTTTTTATTCAAAATTTTCATTTTATATTAAAATATCATTTTACATCCAAAAAATTAATTAACTATAATTTTGTGTTATATATCAAATGAAAGGTATTTTTATGTTCCTTCTAGTAAATATATAATTTAATATATGTAGTTAATTACGTATTTTTTAAGAAGCACATACGTAATTAATTACATATTTTTACAGGTATTGCATTGCAAATTATGTCAAACTGCAAAGAAATTTAGTGTCGGCTTAATTTGGACTACAAATATACCCCATTAAAACCACTTAAATGAATTTTTCTGTAAAAAAAAACCGCTTACCTGAAGAAACCAAATATCAGCTGTTTTTGTTCACACACCGTAAATAACCCTATAGCGTCGATGCATAAGGTTGGTACAGCCTTAAGTTTTGCAAAGTTGTGTTACGTTTAAAAAGTTGTGCGAAGTTATGCGAAGTATGCATAATCAGACCTTAAAAGGCGGCTGATACAGCGAAGTAAGTTAAGCCTGCTATACAGTTCAATGCGAGCGTGAGCGTGAGCTCGATGTTTTTATTTTGACCAATATCTTCATTATTATTTAACTTTTTGCAATAGTTGATACATCAAAAGATAGAGAATTAAAATATCTTTCAAAATTATAGAATAAAACCTAATTTGAAATGCATAATATGCCTCTTTTTCAAGCTCATACTCAACTGTGTGCGTACGCAAAGCATTCGCATGTGAACCAGTGTTGCCGTTCCAGCCCTTTGGTAGCTAGATTTAGCTACCACTTACTTCTTTTGGCCACATAAATTTAAAATTGCACCTAGCCCTTTTTTAGCCCTTTGGAGAATTTATTCATACTTGGCCTGAAAAAGTTGTATATGCTTAATTTGATCTCATTTTTTTCATTTATGTAAGAGATGAATTTTTGAACTAAGAAATACTGATATATATCGTTACCTTAATAAAGAAAGGCCCTAACTCATATTGTCGCTGAAATACAAAAGGCCGTAACTAAGTGAAAATCGAAAATTCCCGTTTTGATTGTTTATGATGCATTTCATCGAATTATAAGTCCCCACATCATTTTAAGCAATAAAAAATTGTATACTATATGTGTTATGGCCTTTCTATATTAAGGTAACGATATACATGTTTGTCCTGTATGTTCCTTACGTTTTCATACCTACTAAAGGGTTGCAGAATTACATACTATGTCTCTTCTACGCTTGCAAGCACTCTTTGCTTTGTACTCTACTCCCAAGTATAAAACCTGTTGCCACTAAGTTTTCTTATCACATTCATATATATATTTTTTTCACTGTACGAACCTAATTAATTTTTCCATTATCTGCTAATGGTAACCTATTTTTGGACATCAAAACAAATTTAGAGTACTGCCGATATACGTAATTTAAATATGATAATTGTACCTATGCATATGCAATATTTTTAATTGTTATCTTTATAATTTCAATTAATTAAAAGGAGTATTGGACTATTTGCAAATTAGTAAATTTAGTAATGATCTCACAAATTCTTCGATGAGTAATTCTTTTATTATCAGAATTGAAAAAAAAAATTGAAATAACTTTGTTGTTTATCTGCGCACTACCGTTAAGAAATGGAGAACACTTTTCATACACAACAGTTTCATAAAAAAGTGACATTTATTTTTGAGATAAAATGACATGTGTAAAAATGTGCAAAGTATGTTTTCGTTGGGGCTATTGCCGTACAAACTAAGTACATATGTTTGTATGTAGATAAATACATATGTATGTACATATATATACATGCATATATGTATGAAGATGCCTTTCTGCTCTGATACTGATGTTTAGTTCTTATAAATATTTATTTATGTACACATATAGTACGTCAACATATAGATATGTATGTATGTGTGCACATATGCAACTGACTTAAGGCTCCGTTATGCATACTTGGCATTGCTTGAGAGTTGTCACATAAGGAATCTGTTAAATGAGCTTCGCGTGTAAGCGGTTACCCAACGCACAGCATTACATACGTAAAAGTCTGTTGGTTTTTGATTTCTACGTAAAAATGGTATAGCAGTGCATGCAATGCCAAGTATGCATAACAGAGCCTTTAGTCACTAGTTTTGCGAATAGAATTCACTAAAATTACATTTCGGAGCGTTTGATGAGATTTTATATACAATGGATCTATTTTCGTTAATTACATACACACGTAAGCATACATATGTATAATGTATACATATGTATATGTATGTGCATTTTTTATAAAAAAAAACCTAGCTTAAAAGTATTTTTGGTTTAGGTAACTACATATGTGTACATACATCTGTGACATTCGTAATTATATGTAAATAAAGGCGTTCAACTACTTGATAAATAATACTAGAGTGTTCTTGTCAATCTAAATTCATTTAGCTGCCATCAAAAGCAATAAACAAACGTCCAGTAGAGCGCATTGAAGGCAAGAAACATGACCGGAAATAGAAAGCGTGATCGCCTGTCTATCCACATAGCAATCTCTTGCGGTGTCATTGTTGTGAATGTAGTGTGGTCGGCAGGCGTTTCCTGATCCTTGCCACCGTTCATCTCAAAACGTCCATCTTTGTCGATATTAACAACGTGATCGGTACAATTGCTATTGCGCTCGCTGGTCACGGAGTTTGTGTCCGCGCACTCGGTAGTGATTATAGGTAGATTCTAATCGGAAATTTAATGCAATTTATTATGTTTTTATAAAACGTGAGACACCAAATGTTCACACTTACATGCACAGTTAAGTAATTATTGTAGCCTGGATTTGAATGACCCTTGAGGACACTTTCCGTGCTGGATGTAATGTTATCGAGACTGGAACAGGAGCGCGTTCGCGCTAGGTTATTCTTGTTTATATCACGTCGCGTCGGACGAGGTGTCAGTGATGCCTTTACAATATATTTACTATTCACCTTTTTCAATTCCACATTCTCCTTGCGTCGCCAAATCGTATTGACGAATGCGAATTCTACCAAACTTCCGAAGATGAAGAATGTGCAGCCAAGGAACCAAATTTCAGAAACTTTTATGTAACTGACTTTGGGTAAGGTCTTAGTTTGCGAGGAGGATAATGTAATGAATGAGAGCATTGTGCTGGTACCTGAAATTATGTAAGTACTCGTGTTAGTGTTGTGAAAGTGCATATATGCATGTATTGATATACAGTTAAAAATTCTGTCACGAATTAAATGGAATTGACGAATTCTTCGTAAGTCTATGCAAGCATGTGCGCATAGTCGTATATATATAGATATATATACATATATATATATATATATATATGAATGTATTTTCATTATACAATTTTATTAAATACCCTTTTACACAAAAAATATATAAAATTTGTGAAGAAACGAAATTTTGATTTTTCTTTTTATTTTAAATTACATAAAGTTTTAATAAAATAACTTATTCGAACTTTAGCAGTCTGAAATTATCATAATTTTCCATTTAATTTTAATACCCCTTGCAGTAATTTTTATTTATTTTTTTAATATCTATGTACCGGTGTGTTAAAATAATACGTGTTTTCGAGCACGTCGGGATTTATTTTTATTGACGACATGTATATTTTATATAGAATTTTTTGTTTTCATGAAAAGCCAAAAATTAGTTAGCTCACAATTAAGTTTTTAATTAAAAAACAAGCAGTATTAGTTAAAGAATCCCCTAAAGAGGCCATTAATGCGCGGTAACACTAAGAATAACGAAAAGTAATAATTTTTATATTTTATTTCGTAGCTTTAACATGACATGATAGCATGGATATTTTAGAATTTTTAATGATTTTCATGAAAAAAAAACAAAACCGAATTAATTTAATCACTTAAAAAACAACAGTATTAGTTTGAAATAATCCCAAAAACTAAGTAAATCAGAAAAACTTACGGAACTTCGAAATTAACGCTAGTAAAACGCGGAAATACTAAGAAATATTAAAAGGGAATTCTTCCGAAAAATTACTCGAGGGAAATTTCGAAAGTAGAAATTTCGATGGCGAATGACAACGGTCTATGTCAGTACTTATTACTTTTTACTGAGATCAGCCTTTTTGGAAGTATAAATATAACTGTTTAATGACCATAAAAATGAGTCGCTGAATTGTACATACATTCATATGTACATAAGTAGTTGTTCATTTGGAAGATATTTGATAGCGAAATTTACGTATACATATGTACACATACATATGCAGGAGTTTAATCAAAGATAGACTTTAGACAAAAAATGTACAAAAAATTAATACTTACCCAGCATAATTCGTGGGGGCGATTGATCGGCTTGCAGCCAGAATGAGACCCATGAGATGGCGACGATCATCATTGAGGGCAGGAAGTAGTCCAATAAATAGAAACCGATCTCACGATTGAGATGAACAGTAAAACTAAGCGAACTGTAATTGCCCACTAAGAAAAATACATAAAAACGTGCAAATATAAATTTTTAGTAATGTAATGAAAATATACAAAAAAATATTAATACTTTTAGGAATAGTGTATATTTTTAATTAATCCTACGAGTACATATTTTAAAGGATGACTGATTAAGAATTGCATATAACCATTTCCACAGAATGGTCAACTAGGACCGATAACTAAAATGACCAATCAGTTGTATGGGAGCTATAAGTTATAGTGGCCCGATTTTGACGGTTCCGACAAATGATTAAAGCATTACAAAAACGCACTCACTTATCAAATTTCAGTCGGATATCTGGAAAACAGAGGGACTAAATTGCGTTCAAACAGAAAGACAGATGGACTTGGCTAAGTGGGGGAGTCTACAATACCATTTCATGTCAATGAAAGGTATAAATAATGATGGAAAAATTGTACGTTCGCGACCGGTGCTTAAGCTTATAAACAACAAGTAATTTTTAGCAAAAAAAAAACCGACTTCAACTCTCATATAAAAATATATATATATATATATATCTCATGATCCACTGATCGGATCTTAACCAGATTAGTATGGGACCAACTCTGAGACACTACCTTGCCGATGCAACAAGAATTATCGAAATCGGTTGACGTGGTGAAAAAAAATATATATATTCCGACGAACTGATAACCTCCTCCTTTTTTGGAAGTCGGTTAAAAAAACGAATAGAGATATTTCAAGGCTTAATTAGTTAGTACCTTCCTTATTTCACGTTAATAAGAAATTAATGGCTTTAGAATATTCTTTCATTTCGCAGTTTCTTGCATTTTTCAATTTGCAGCTAAAAGCGACTTCCATTATTCGTTCGTTCGCGACCAGCATGTTTAATACTCACATATTGAAAAATATAAAATAAAATAAAAACTTTTTAATATACCACGCTTTTATAAATGGACTAAAAAGTAAAAAAAAAAAATATTTCCCATAGAATTTGTTGGATAACTTTTGATTTCGAAATTTTAGCAAAACTTCACATTTCTGATAAGTTTCTCCAGCGATTTCACTGAATAAAGTTGATAAACTGAAGCCAATGCAACTCTGTGGAAACTCTAGCCGTGTTTTCTTAGGCAATAATCGGGATCCGCATAAAAATTTTGCATGCAAATTCAACAACAACGATATGATTCTGATAGAGATCTGGTTGGATTTATTGTCCGTTCTGCTTGGTTTGTTTCACTGATTACACTGGTTTAGAGCAAAAATGTTCTATGGATGCCACTATCCAATTCCTATGTAGAATTGCTCGGTGATTCAGAAAATCGAGTTTTTTTTCTATGGATACGTTTTCAAGATATTTTCAATTGACCGTTATGCAGCTTAAAGCTAAATCTGGTTCCTTTTAATCACTAATTACTAAACAATTTAAAAATCTTAATATAAAATACGGCAAATGAAATCCTCCATAAACCGTATATACATAACTTTCCGATAGGGCTTATAGTTTCTGACAAATTAATTAATCATTCCAGCTTTATTTTATTAATTAAAAAATAGAAAAAAATAAACTTTGACAAGAAAAGTTTTAAGAATAACAGGTTCTCTGCAAAATTTTTGCATTTTTTCTAAAGCCCGTTCTGTGGCAAAAAATAATCAAATTACTAATGAAGAAAATCGACGGATAGATAAGAAATAATGAGTGAGTGGTTAAATGTAAATACGCAAACAGTTTTTGTATGAAAAATAAGCAGCATAGAAAACTACTCATACGCCACGTACACCTGAGTAATACGCTTTTCTGCTCATATTTCATAAGAAAAATTTTTGCGCATTTTTATTTGACCACTCATTATTTCTATTTATCCATTGATTTTCTTCATCAGTAACTTGTTTTTTTTTTTTGTAACAGAACAGGCTTTAGTACAAATGCAAAAATTTGGCACAGAACCTGTTATTATTTTAATTTCTCTTCTGTTAAAGTTAGATTTTTTTAATTTTTTCATAAAAAAAAATAAAAAAAATGGAATGATTTATTAATTTGTCAAAAGCTATCAGTCCTATCGGAAAGTGGTGTATATATGGTTTATGAAGAATTTCATTAGCTTTCATTTGCCGTATTTTATATTAAGATTTTTAAATTGGTTCGTAAGATATAAGTGATTAAAAAGAACCAATTTTTGCTTTAAGCTGAATAATGGTAAATTGCAAATATCTCGAAAACGTATCCATAAAAAATAACCCAATTTTCGGAATCACCGAGCAATTCTACATAGAAATTGGATAGTGGCGTCTTGAGAACAAAAACCAAACTAAAATTTGTGATCCATTTATTATTCGGCCGCACGGTCTGGTAGCAGGGACAAATGAATTCATACTTGCTTCAAATAAATCGCCTTTATAGTAAATATTTATTTAAATGAATGTTATCTCGTCTAAATATAAGTTTTTCCCATTTAGAGAGGTCATTTCTAAAATTTCTTAATAATCGTGCTAGTGGTATAAAATTGCTGATACTGAGCTCGATAAGCAAAGAAAAAACGACGAAAGGAGAGTATGGGGAGTTCGTGTAATAGAGTGCTTAAAATTATACACTCAGAAATATATTCCTCTCAACACATGATTTGGTAACTATAAACAAATTATGTGACTATAACCAAATCATGTGTTGATAAAAACATATTTAGTTGACGTAACTAAACTCTTTTCTCAGTGTAAGAATATCTGCTTATATAAAGTTATCGGCTTAGATGAATAAAAAAAAGCATTGTAAAATAATAACAAACATCGAAATATCATCCTTTTTGCACCAAAGATATACCTAGAAAAAACGCTATGGAAACATAAAAAAATAATAAAAATTCTTGTTTTCCTTGTTTTTTGAACTTCAAAAACGTACGAACGTACGGTTCGCGACCGTTGCAAATGCCCATATTTGAAAAGAAAATAGCTTCTAAAGTTGCTCCTTTAAATAACAAAAACTGCGCCCAAACACGAGCGCAATTATTCTTTACAATCGACATACATATCGTCGTTTAAAATATAAAACCGCGTATCAGTATAATGCAAAACAACACTCCTTACCAAAGTCAAAAAAGTTTTGTTTCCGTTGACCCAACCACTAAAAACCTTCCTAACTTATCAGGCTTCAACACCAGAAAAAAAGAAGAACACATTTGTGCTCCTTTCGCGACCAGACGTTCTATATGCAACACTATGATTCTCCTCTAGCGTCTCCATACGTTTTCACAAAGAAAACCCCTTTATGTTGAAACTAATTTTGTGTAAAATAATGAATGGTGTACAAATCCATAACTTCCCGATCACACACCGCTAACTTACCAAAGGAACCATGTCGTAAGTTTATACCGTCTGAGTTAACGATTGTTTCGTTATACCAAAATCTCTGCATATTGTATTCAGTAAGATGCATTTCCGGATCGAACGAAATTGGCGAATATGATTCCCATTGCAGCACCATTTCAGTTTTGTTGTACATCCCTATCGAAATAAGAAAAATTTTTTATATAGATACAGGTTGCATGCTTTTTCTATTCTGTTGTACTTACAGCTTTCCAGTATTGTGGAACAGAATTGCTCGTCGAATGGAAACTTTTTAAAATTCATGTAACAATATAGTGTAGCTTGGAGGCGTTGCGATATCACCACTCGACCTTCCGGTGATATCGATGTAAGCACATCCTTTTCGTCGGTACCCAGGATGCTGGAGTCACGTTCGTTGGCGAAAAATATATGCGGTAGCCACAAACGCTCACTTAAATGCTTTTGCCCGATGATATTGTCGTTTCGCTTTAACTCCTTATAGGCTAGACGACTATCGTTAAAACTTAATTGCAGTAATGCGTGCATTTTAAATTGCAGTAAATCAGAGTTCAGATTCTGTAGGAAGTATACGTAAATTCGTGCCTTAACTGTGACGGGTAAACGTTCGCCATTTTTTCCATATTCTGTTATCAAAAGAAATATTAATTAAAATAAATAAATCAATTGGATATACATACATATGTACATTAGACTGCATCACCAAAAAAAGTTGCGGTTTTTCCGACAGGATTGCAAAATTTATTATATTTTAAGATGCCCACCAAAATATTTCGGAACATATTAAGATTTAAGTGAGCTGGAGCGATTTGAAAATACCTCCAAAAATTGAGTTTTTTATGAATAAAAATAGTTTCTTAAAGAACTTTTTGAAAAAAAGCTCCCTCAGATGACAAAACAGGTTAAGTTTAAAAAATTTGTATACAAATATTTAAATATCTTTTCAACGGAATCGTAATAATGAGATTTTTGATGCTGTTTTTTACTTTTTTCAAAGATTGATTTACGAAAAACTTGAATAACGGGGCCAAAACTATTCTGATTTAGACTTATGGGATATCAGTAGAAGTGTATTTTTTTGTCCAAAAAAAGTCATTCGTGTCCCAATTTTATTTTCAAATACCAACACATCTTAATTCAACTTTGAATGAAGTTCTTTGATCCTACTTTTGTCTTTCATCCTTTGAATAAGTTTATTAGCAAAACAATAAAAGTTGAGAAAATACCTTTCTAATGACACCTTTTTAAGTCTAAATCGGAAGAGCTTAGGTTCAGTTATTAAAGTTTTTCTTATACCAATCTAGGAAAAAAGTTAAAAACCAACATCCAAAAAATCTCATCATTACGATTCCGTAATTTTTTTTTTAATATTTTTTTTTCTAATTTTTTAATGGAAATTTTTTAAGCTTAAACCATTCTGTCATTTGAGGGGATTCTCTCAAAAAATCTTTAAGAAACTATTTTTATTCATAAAAAACTCCATTTATCGAGGTATTTTCAAATCGGTCCAGCTCACTTAAATCTTAATATTTTTCCGAAATATTTTAGTGGACGTATTAAAATATAATAGATTCTATAATTCCAATGGAAAAAAAGTACAGATTTTTTTTTGTATGGGGAGTGATGCAGTCTAATGTACATACATACATAACTAGGTATCTTTCTTTGAGAAAAGACTTACCAATCGGTCGCTCCAAACGATCGTAACGACAAACGTGTGTTAACCGTTGTATAAGTTGCGTTTGCTGCAAATTTGTGGCGTTTGAGATCGGCGGGCAGTCTTCTTCCACTTCGGCAGGCAGTGACACCCTGGAATATAGTAAGTCGCAAAAAATGTTTTTTTGTATCAAAAATTATAGTTATGCTAAAAAAAATCTTTGGAATATGTACATAAATAAATCATTTACAGAAAACTTTTCAGCAAAGAATTGCCTTAGTGACGTTGAAATTATGTATATACCATATACATATGGCTCATTCCATCTCAAATCACCCAGGCCGGGGGAAAGTGAATTTAAGTTTGCGATAAAACTCACAGGGATTGTTCCTTGAAAAATTTAAGGAGACACGTATTTTTTCTTTTTGCTCAGAAATGCGAATTTTTCGAATAATGAATTTTTTTCTTTTTGAGTACGAACGCTTCTTTTTTCCTCACTTAATAGCAACTGTTGATGAAATCGTTTATAACTGCCGCAAAAAAGCAAGGATTCTAACGATTTTTTTTTTGAATTGCAGATATTGATCTACTGAATCGATCTAGTGAACTAAACTTCAGTAATTGTTTATTAATAATTAATTATTGTTTATAAACAAAAACAAATTTTTATTTTCAAATTGATTTTTTTCAAATTTCCACATCTTTTTTTTCTCTCAAACTTTTTTGTCTATTAGGGAATAGTATAAACTGTTTTCAGTACGAGTAGCAATATGCTAAAATTCGTCATTTTCGAGTTATGATTTTTTTTCTGAAAATGCACTTATATGATGCTAGCAGATTTTCGTGCCAGTTGAGGGCACAAAAATTGTTGCCCATTATGACAAAATTTCCTTGCTGGAAATTTTTTGAGGTTGCCCGATCAGAGCCAAAAGTTTTTCCCAATTGGGCTCTAATTTGGGCCCAATTAGCGATTTGCCCAATCTACCGAAGATTTCCCCAACCAGTGCTCACAATTTGCTCAAAGTGAACATGCATACGCAATTAAAACGTTTTTATCGATAAAATCACACATACACACATCAAAATTCCCTACGAAAAAAAATATTTTTTAATTTTTTTCTTGAAAAATTTTCCATATACAAATTTTTTTGAAAAAAAAAATTAGTTTTTGAAAATATGCCATTTCAAAAAAATTGGAAAAAATCACAATGGTGTATTGCGCAATATTTAAGTATAATGTTATGGGGTGCACTCTACAATGATTCGAGTTATGATTTTTTTTTACACCGAAGTTGAGTAAAATGAGTACATTACCAATTTACAAATTTTTAAAACTTTTTTTTTTGCGATTGCAAAACTGCCGTTAATTTTTTTTTAAATTCTCTTTGAAAACGGTTTTAGGCATTTTCATCGATAAGGAAAAAGTGCAAGAAGCCGTGAGCATAAACAATATTAAAAATCAACGCAATTTTGCAGTAGCTTAACACTTGCACTTTATTATACTCAAATTTAATGGGCTTCAAAATTGCATACTCAAAAAAAACCCTAAACAAAATTTTATTTTTTTTTTAATTCATATACATTACATATATAATTTTTTAATTCTATAAACTGTCCATGTTCCATTTACTGAGTCCGAAAAAGTTTCGCATTATCAAGGTTGTTTTGCCCAAATTGACCCAGTTGTATTTTACTATTCAACATTAAATTTTAAAGTTTTGGGTGATTTTGGAATCTTTAATCGGTAGTGTCACGGAAACATGAAAGCCTATTAACACTGCAGAATCAGCGTAAGAAAACCGTGCATCTATGGGTACCATGAGTAATAAATTTAAATTTTACAAAATAAGGGCCGTTTTCTCATGTAACCTTTAACTTTAGAGCTCACTTTATATTTTGTTATTGATCTTGTTATCGTTTGTTTTATCGATTTTGTTATCGATCTTGCTATCGATATTATCGATTTTGCTATCGATATTATCGATTTTTTGATAGATTTTGTAATCGATTTAGTCATCGATTTTGTTATCGATACTTTCATCGATTTTGTTATCGTACTTGCTATCGATTTTGCTATCGATATTATTATCGATTTTGATATCGATATTTTAATTTTTTTATCGATTTTGCTATCGATATTATTATCGCTTTTGTTATTGATATTTTTTTCTTAGTGTGTGCTTTCGTTTTTGACTTGGATATGCTCTTAACCATACCACGTATTCTACGTTTAAATTTAGCGCAAAGCAGACGAAGCCGCTCGACTGTTCCTTTTTGTTTTTATTATTTATTGAATTTTTTTTTTGTTTATGTATTTAATTTTACTTCATTTTATTTTCATTTGCTTTATTTTATATCACACTTTACTATTATTTAATTTAAATTTACGCTATGTACATAGCTCAGTGGTTAACGCTTCTGACTTTGAACATCGAATTCGCAGGTTCGATCCCTGCTGAAGTCTAGAAAAAAGAAGTCTGATGAGGAGATGTGGTGAGCTCCGGAATAGTGCTATAACTTCCACCGCTTAGACTTTGTTGCTTTTTCAATTTTTCCTAATAAACAATCGTGGTACAAAGCTCAATAAAAATATTAAAAATTTAATTTTAAGAGTTGAATTTTATTAAAAAGTCAACAACAACTAACTGAAAGCAACGTTAAAAAAAATATAGAACTTATAAAGAAATGAATAAAAACGAAATAAATGAAAATTCTACCGGCCGTGGGACTTGAAGCCACGACCTTGCGGCTCATTAATCCGCATTACTGCCGTCTGTCAGGGTAAAATTATTATGCGCATTTGTGTGCTAGTTTATCTGCATTAGCACGCCCGTCTGTCACACGTTTAAACACCCATATGTAAATGCTACTTTTGTGCATCTACGCGTATGAAAAACATATTAAATAGAACGTATCAGAAAAGTAGCATTTATATATGCAAAACATATCGCATAAGGGTGCTGTAAGTTGAGCATCTGGTCTGGCAAAAGAGCAGATTAGCTCAAGCAACGACTGTTGCCACTTGGCCAATTTGGTGATCACCCGTTATGTTTAAACCAATGTTTATGCCCATTTGCAAAGGAGGGGGCAATTGGAAAAGTCGTTGAAATCCCTATGAAAATAAGAGAACATTTTCCGATACATTTTTTAGCTACGTTCTAAATGTACCCATAATTGTACCCACAATGGTGTGCTTGTACCGAATATGCGTAGCCATTTCACAATTTGACAAACTGTGATGAAATTCATTGTCAAGACTCTCTGTAGAGCAAAAACTCTATTTAGCTGACAAATAGAGCGTAGAGTAGAGTTTCTATCTAGTAGCGATGGACTGTGTACCCTGCGAAAAGATATCGCCAAATAACTCTCCCGTCGACTGAGTAGGTGAGTATCTGGTAGAACTCTATTGAGTGTTTATTTCTCTAAAATTTACTCAGGAGAAAGTTAAGGAAATCGCATTTTGTAGGCGTTCGTTATCAGATATAGCGGACCTACCAATTATTCGACGCAAGTTATAAACAGAAGCATGCATTATTTTTAGCTTGCCTGCAAATTATAGGTAAATACATACGCAAATTTTCATATATGTATATACATACATATATATATTCCACCCACGTTAAAATGTTTCCCTCTTAAATTTAGTCTGAATAAAATTGTTTTAATATGCAAATTAAGCGGACTGCTAATAAAAACTGCAAATTTAACTGGCATTAAAAAAAGAAGCTGTGACGAAATTTCAGCTGTGATAATTCAGTTGACAAACGTGCTGTGCAAATATTTATTAAAATGGGGCAAATAAAAATACACTCCGATACATATAGGTAGGTAGTACAAACAAATACATACATATAAACGCATTTTTGTACTCGCATTTTATTAACGAAATGCAAGTTAAATAAGACGTTTCTGGAGATATGAATTAAGAAAATCATAAAGACTCAAGATAGAAGAAAGTACGCCAAGAAAATACGATTAATAGATTATTTTAAGGAGAGAAAAACGAATGCTGAGCAATAAATAACACGTGCAGTTAATAAACAGAAGTATTCTAGAAATCATCGAGAACATCAATTATAGGGTAGAAGCGAACTTAATACATTGCAGTCACTGAACGGCCTGTGCCCCACCAGTAGTAAGTTTACCACAAGTGAACAGCGTCCGGTGAATGGAAGTTGATCGAGGCCCCCTAGCGACCATGAGTTGGATGTTTGTCTTTTAAATCATGTAAAAAATGCCCTTAAAAAACTTAATATCCTAGACAAACCACATACATACTTATGTACATATGACTTTTCGTGTGTGAAGTATGTATTTACATAAATATTTTTGCACGGTGTTTCTTCTTAACCAAAAGTTTAAAATCAAATCGGCATGACTAATCTCCAGTCTACTTAAAGCAACAAAACTTTGTAGTTAGTACTATGTGCTAAGTAAAAACCCCGAACTTCACAAACAGTTCTGGAACACCCTAGTGCAATCCCATACATACATACATATACGCACCGCACCGCACCGCCTATTTCAAGGTCAGTAGCGCTCAAGTTGTTTTTATCAGCTGGGAAAGTTAATGATATTTCATTAACCTTCTCTTAAATATACTGAGGACAATTGAAATAATTTTATGTTTATACAAATTTTTAATTATTTCTTTTTTTTTTTGCATGAATCTCTAGTTGGATAACTGCGAAAGACTTTGTCAGTTAAGTAGCTGCTTATTGTTTTAATTGTTTGTTTACTGTGCAATACGACGTAATTTAGTAAAATTTTTATTAATCTGGCTTAGGAGCACCGGTGTTTATTTACTAATGGCTTTCCAACTTCATTAGCGCCATTGTTGTCTTTGAAGTTTGTTATCGCTTATTAAACGCTTTTCAATTCAAAGTCATGTTCGTGTGTGCTTTTGTTTATTAATTAGCGGCGTTTTCAAAAGCAAATACATACAAAAATACTTCTTAATTAAAAAATAGTGTAACACATTTAAACTCCAAATGCAATTAATTTTCTTTACGGAAACAGCTTCAGAGAATCTCTGAAGTGCCTGAAAATGTTTGGATCTACAAACATCCATACATATGTACATATGCTAGTAAAAATGTGCAAATGCAACAATAAAATTTTATGCAAATATTTACATTTCTAGCAATTTCAC